AATTTTCAACCTGGAATTCAGAAAGCATCAAGTCCAAACCCATATGTAGAAACAAACCAATAAAGCCAAAGTGATTTCCACCCAGGCCACACAGTGGATCAGTGGCAGTGTTAGGACTAAGCATAGGCTGCTGACTCCTGTTCTGTGCTCCTTCCTCAATGCCCACCCCACATGTGAGGCCCAGAGGAGACAGCAATTTCCCACACATGGGACTGGTGGCAGAGTCTACCCCTCCTGCCCAATTCCACTACTAGATACAAATCCAAGAAAACAGAAAACACAAAAACTAGCACACTTATGTTCACAGCAATGTTATTCATAATAGCCAAAAAGTGGAAACAACCCTAATACACATCAATGGATAAATAAAAGGATAAAAAGAATGTGGTCTAGCCATACAATGAAATATTATTTGGCTATAAAAAGAAATGAAATACTGCCTTAGCCAGTTTGGTTCAGTGGATGGAGCGCAGGCTTGCAGACCGAAGGGTCCCGGGTTCGATTCCAGTCAAGGGCATGTACCTCGGTTGCAGGCTCCTCTCTGGGCCGGGGCCCTGGTCAGAGCTCGTGCAGGAGTCAACCAAACGATGTGTTTCTCTCACATCAATGTTTCTCTCTGTCTTTCCCTCTCTCTTCCACTCTCTCTAAATCAATGGAAAAATATCCTCAGATGAGGATTTAAAAAAAGAGAAATGGAATAAAGTACTAATAAATGCTTCAACATTAATTACCTTTTGAAAACATTATGCTATGTTTTTTAAAAAAGCCAGATACTAGCCCTGACTGGTTTGGCTCAGTGGATAGAGTGCCGGCCTGCGGACTGAAGGGTCCCGGGTTTGATTTCCCAATCAAAGGCACATGCCCAGATTGTGGGCTCAATCTTTAGTAGGGGACCTGCAGGAGGCAGCCAATCAATGGTTCTCTCTCTCTCTCTTTTTTTTTTTAAATATTTTATTGATTTTTTACAGAGCGGAAGGGAGATGGAGAAGGATAGAGAGTCAGAAACATTGATGAGTGAGAAACATCGATCAGCTGCCTCCTGCACACTCCCTACTGGGGATATGCCTGCAACCAAGGTACATGCCCTTGGCCGGAATCGAACCTGGGACCTTTCAGTCCACAGACCGATGCTCTATCCACTGAGCCAAACCGGTTAGGGCAATGGTTCTCTCTCATCGTTGATGTTTCTATCTCTCTCTCCCTTCCTCTCTGAAATCAATAAAAATATATTTTTAAAAAAAGCCAGATACTAAACACCACATAGTGTATGATTTCATTTATATAGAATAACCAGAATAGGCAAATCTATACAGATAGAAAGTAAATTAGTGGTTGTGGAGAACAGGGGAGGGGTTGTGTGGGAAGTGACTGCTAATGGGGTTTTTTGGGTGATGAAAATGTTCTAGAAGATAGTGGTAAAGGTTGCACAACTTTGTGAATCTACTAAAAACCACCAAACTGTAGACTTTAAAAGGGCAAATTTTATGGTAAATGAATAATATCCAATAAAAAAGGAAAAAGATAAAACCCAAAACAGCATGAACAATGACATATGTGAGAGTACACAGAATTTTATTCTCCAAATGGAGGTTTCTAGGCTCCTGAGATACCTACAAATGTACTCAATGGACATTTCACAAGTTCCACCATAATAACGTTCCCAAAAGCAGATTCCATATGCTCAATATTTCCATAAAGAGTGAGATGAGCCTGCCTCTCACCTCAGACCCAGCTAGCTCACCTTGGCATCCTGTAACTTTAGAGTCTAAACCAGCCGTGGGCAAACTACAGCCCGTGGGCTGGATCCGGCCTGTTTGAAATGAATAAAACTAAAAAAAAAAAAAAAAAAAGACCGTACCCTTTTATGTAATGATGTTTACTTTGAATTTATATTAGTTCACACAAACACTCCATCCATGCTTTTGTTCTGGCCCTCCGGTCCAGTTTAAGAACCCACTGTGGCCCTCGAGTCAAAAAGTTTGCCCACCCCTGGCTCTAAACCCAGGGCAGGAGGAAGGCAGGAACACCAGAGAGAACTTCAGTTTATACCAACCATCCCCTATGGTGGGAGAACTCTTGTCCTGCAGGTTCAAGAAACACCCAATGTGCTAACACACAACTGGGAGGTGGTAGCCTCCTTGAGGAAGAAGAGCCATTCACTTCAAAAAGGGGGGAAAAGGCCATAAATACTACCACGTCAAACTTGCACCTACAACCCTAACCTCCAAAACAAAGGAACAAGCCTGTTCCCACGGTCACTGACTCCACCAGCTCAGTTCCTCTTTGGCTGTACGACTTGCCTCCGAAACCCACACACCCCAAAGCAGATCCACTCGCTTATGTCCCCAATGGTTGTGAAACACCCTGTGTATAAGAGGGTGTGGGGACTGTTCTGACTCCCCAGTAAGTGCCTGACACAGACCAAACTCAAGTCTATCTGCGACTCCACTTGGCCTATTGCACAGACTCCCTTAACAAACTTACTTCCACCCCTTTTCATTATTGAATCAAACTTGAAGTTTCTCATGTGCACCCTTTGCAATGGCCTCTGTGGGTCGCTGTGTACATTACATCCTCAGTTTCTTTTTTTCTTATTATTAGTATTTTATTGAATTTTTACAGAGAGGAAGGGAGAGGAATAGAGAATTAGAAACATCGATCAGCTGCCTCCTGCGCACTCCCTACTGGGGATGTGCCCGAAACCAAGGTACATGCCCTTGACCGGAATCGAACCTGGAACCCTTGAGTCCGTAGGCCGACGCTCTATCCACTGAGCCAAACCGGTCAGGGCCACCCTCAGTTTCTTTACATCAGTTACTATATTCACAGCACTTAACACTATCTGACATTATCTTGCTCATGTATTTGTTTACTTGTTCTCTCTCTCCTCGGACTAGAAAAGCGCCACAAGGGTGGACCTTGAACCTCTAACTCACAACCACATCCCTAGGCCTGGGCACAGAGCAGGCACACAAATATTTGTTGATTATATAAATGTGTTCCAGAAACATGTATTGCTAACTTACTACCTCTTTAAAACCTCTGAACAGGGCAGGCGTCTCCCATGCAATTCTATAAATGCCACTTTGTTGAACTTTTCCCTATGGCAAGAGAGGGTGTGCCTTTTCCTGTGACGTTCTTACACCATGCTTGATCCGAATGCGGTCCAGGGAAAAAGGGGTTTCAACAGGCCACTTTGGGGGTTTTCCCCACTCGTGATTCAGCCTGAGATTTGACAGCACAAGGCTGAGAAACCTCTTTTACCCGGCCTCTGAGGTTCCAAATAAGGAATCTCTCATTAAACAAAAAGGATAAATTACCGGCTGGTTAACAGAAGGAAGGAAACTTTGTTATCAGCCAATAACCTACCCTTGTTGGGAGAAAACCAACACCAGAGAATTTAAACAAGAATGTTCCTTTGTTAAAGGCAGATACCACTCCCTTTTCTCCGTGTCTTCCTTTGCATTCACTCTCAGGATATTATCAGCTAAGGAAGCAGCATACAGGAAGACCTAGAAAATCACTCTGGATTAAATGACTTAAATCTTGGTTCTGTCTGCTTGTTCTTGACAAGCAGAGTATGAACCGAGCCTCTGGGGGAAAGGCCATTGCTTCCGAGATCTACTTCCAGGATTCTGCACAAGGAGCCAAGTTCTGACCCACTTTCCAGGCACCCTGCACACCTAACCACACACAGGCGGCCCCCTAACGAGCTCCATCCTTAACCTTCCCCCGACAGCTGTGTGGCCCCTGCAGGCACAGACAAGCGGGCTAGTATAGTGTTTTTGTTGTTTTTTTTAAAAAACGTAGGACAGACCAACTCCATCAGAGTCACTGGAGTGCTTATAAAACTGCGAATTCCTGGGCATCGCCTAGCCCTAGGGAATTAGAATCTTCAGGAGTGGGGCTCCGGAAACTATTTTCAACATGCCGCCCTCCCCCCAACCCCCCGCCCCCCAAACAACGGGATAAAAGCTCCCCCGGAAAAGCAGAGAGTTGACAGAAAGAAGACAGGAAAAATAATCGGGGAAGGGTCTGGGGGTGGAAGGTGGGGGTGGGGATGGGGTGGGAAAGGGCAAGCTCGGGGTAACCACAGTGGAGACGGGTGCGCCGAGAACAGGCGAGAGTCGAGGTGCGGACGGGCTCTGGAAAGGGTCTGACACCGGCTTTAGGCTGGGAGGCTGGTCAGAGGCGAGGTCGCTTCCACGGACTGGTCAGGAGGGTGGGGAGGCGGAGACAGCAAGATCTGGACGTGAGAGGGAGGAGCAAAGGCGGGAATAATGGGGGGCTCTTCAGAGGGGTCAGGGCTGGGAAGTGAAAATTGGGAAATGGGGGTCACAGAAAGCGGAGACCAAAGCAGGAATAGGAACCAGCAGAGGCGGTTGCCGAGACCTTTCCTCCGACCCAATGCCTCCCTCCAAACTCCAGGCCCTGACAAGCCTGAGTGCGGGGCCACGGCCGGGGAAGGGGAACTTTGGGGGAGACAAGCCCAGTCAGGGACACCCCTCAAGCCTGAGCTAGGGGTTCCGGAGGTGGCTCGGGGCAGGCATGGAGTGCCGGAAGATCCTGGGGTCCCCCGGAGAACCCGGCTCCAGCTCCGGCTCCCGGAGTCTCCTTCACTCACCATCGCTGCCGCCATCTTGGATCCACGTGTCGGCGTGATGACGTCAGCGGAAGTGGTGTTTCCCCGATTATGGAGTTCAATTCTGCGAGGTGCCGCTCAACTTCAGTCGCTCCTGTAGTTGCGGTATGGAGGGGCAAAGCCGACTTAGCTCCTGATCCGTAGCCTGGTCTGGGCAGTCAAGTCGCTGATTAGGGGAAGAGAGCGTACGGCAGGACTTGGAGAGCCATATTAGCTCCTGGCAGAGACAGCTACTCCCTCTTCCCCACTGCATTGTGGGTAATGAGGGTTGTGCCTAAACGCACAGATTCTCGGGGCACCATCTTTACTAATGGCCAGAGAACCGTTGCCAGGGTTACCTGAGGCCTTGATTTAGGTGAGAGGCGGATACCAGGATTCCAAGAGCAGGGTTCTACTCTGAGAATAATTTGTAATTATGCATTTAATTACTAGCTTGACTATTCTATATCCTCTCCAATAGACTGTAATACCTAAAAGGTAGGAACCTGTTTATTAATAAACCTCACTCCATGTTCATCTGTAAAATGGGGAGGGGAATATTGTAATACTTTCATCATAGTTTTCTGATGAGGAGCTAATGACACAATGTTACATAGTTGTCATTATACTCTTATGTATTTTCCTTCAGGCATATGGAAGGTGCCCAATACAATGCACTATGTATTTGTTAAAGGAATGAATGAAACGCAACGTATTTAGTGGAGGAAGACATCTTTGAATGTGGACTTCACCATGTGTTAGGTAAGTGTGTGACTCTTGTTACCGGAAAGGTGACCTGGCCCTGAGTGGGTTCTTGACTTTGCTCAGGAAAGATTTCACAGCAGGAATCCAGGTGATTTTTAAAGGATGTTTATTAAAGCTGGCAACAGTGAAACAAGGAAGGGCCTAGGATAGAAGCAACAATAGAGGGAGTAACTAGGCGGGGAAATGAGCCTGGGCTGGGCTGCTTTGGCTCACAAGGAAGTCAGAGAAAAGGGAGCAATGGGGCCAAGGTCAAGGGTTAGCTGGGGAGGAGCAGTTGCTGCCCATTGCTTCCTGGTTGCCAGCCTCCTGGGGTCCCTTAGAGTGTAGGACAGTGATGGCGAACCTATGACACGCGTGTCAGAGGTGACATGCGAACTCATTTTTTTGGTTGATTTTTCTTTGTTAAATGGCATTTAAATATATAAAATAAATATCAAAAATATAAATCTTTGTTTTACTATGGTTGCAAATATCAAAAAATTTCTATATGTGACACAGCACCAGAGTTAAGTTAGGGTTTTTCAAAATGCTGACACGGCGAGCTCAAAAGGTTCACCATCACTGGTGTAGGAGATGCATGCCTGTGGGGAAGAAAAAGGGGCTGGGAAAGGCTGGACATACTCCTGGGAGGGAGAGGGAGTGCGCTGGGACCTTCAGTTTGAGGGGTTTTTTTAAGGCTGGGAGTTAAGGGGAGGTCTAATAGGTTATTCATTAGTTTTAGGTTGATGTGCCAAAATGAGATTTATTCCCTTAACTTCATCTGCCCTTGGGTATGGTTGGCAAATAAATGGCACTTGGATTTCTGCTATCTCCCTGAGTAGAAATGAGCACCATTGTGATGGATTGTCCAGAAAGATGGTTGCCAAGGTTGCCAACACGTCCTCCCATTTCTTCATGAGCATGCTGTTTTTCCCTTCAAGAGGCAGATTTTATTTATCCTCCCTTTGAATCTGGCTGGTCATATCACTTGTTTTGACCAATAGAATGTGGTACAAACAACTGCCAGTTCTGGGTCTTAGCCTTGAGTTCTGCGGCTATCATCTTGGGTCTAAAGGAGTCTGGCTACCCTGCTGGAGAGCCACATGGAAAGGGAGGGAGACCAGCCAACTCCTCAAGACATCTAGAAACTCCAGCTGAGCACTAGAATTGTGAATGAAGTCATCTTGGACATCCCAACCCCAGCTGAACTGCCAGCTGAATGCAACCACATCCGTCACTATGTACAGTAGAAAAACTGTCCAGCTGAGCGCAGTTGGTCTAGATTTTGGAGTGGTTTCTCATGAGCAATTGATCATTGAAACACACATCCATTAACTCTCTCATCCACACAACCATCCTGAAGAATAGCTGAACAGATATTATTCCCAAGGGGAAGAAAGCTTGAGCGACTAGGAGAACTTACCTGGAATCTCATCACTAGTAAGTCATAGATTCCAAACTTGCAACAAGTTCTCCTGGATCTTGAATCCTGGGTGTTTTCTACCCTTTCTGGATGCTTGAAGAGGGATGAATAATAAGGGGAAAAGCTTCACAAATGGCTTATTCTTCTTCAGTATTTCCATTTTCCTCCTCCTCATACTTTTTGTTTTTTCCCCAAGGGTTTTCACATTCCCATCTCTTTCGGTAACATACACCAGAATCCTGGAACTTGGTGGCCTGAGGTCAGATCCCATCCCTACCTCTCACTAGCTCCATCACATGGTAAGTTTCTTTTTTTTCCTTAAAAAAACTTTTTTATTGTGGTAAAATATACATCACATACAATTTATCATTTTAATTGCTTTTATTTTTTTTAAAGATATTTTCAGACAAATAGACATGGTTTTTTAAATTAAAATATGTTTTTATTGATTTCAGAGTGAGGAAGGGAGAGTGAGACAAATAGAAACATCGATGAGAGAGAAACGTCGATTGGCTGCCTCCTGCACACTCCCTACTAGGGATAGAGCTCACCTGGGCATGTGCCCTGACTGGGAATTGAACAGACAACCTCCTGGTACATGGGGCAGTGCTCAACAAAGTGACCTTGGCTGGGTATCTGAGTTGGTTAGAGCATTGTCCTGATATGCCAAGGTTGTGGGTTTGATCCCCAGTCAGGACACATACAAGTATCAACCAGCGAATGCATAAATGAATGGAACAATAAATCTCTCTCTCTCTCTCCCTCCCTCTCTCCACTTCCTTTCTCTCTCTCTAAAATCAATTTTAAAACATTTTATATTTAAAACTTATCACTTCCTAATCATTTTACTACATCTTACTCTTGAGTTGTTTACATCTATTTTATGTGTAATACTGCTAGATGGTGTATTGCTGCATATTCCTTTCCAGCTCGGTGTTCAGCGGTGCCGGGTTGGTAGCAGAACCAACGTATCCATTAACACAGTAGGCACAGTGCAGAAGGCCATCAGACTTTTAGGTGCCACAAAAATGTTCAAAAGGAATTTTTTTAAATCAGAAGGAAAACATGTCTTCATATATAAATACATTCATCTTGATATCAATGTAGTTGTCAACTATAATTTCTAATTAATTTAATATATTTATAAATAGAATATATATTTTATGAAGGAAGGTTCCAACAAAAGCAAAAGTGCCAAAGGCCCTTGAATATCATAATACAGTTCTGGTTGCTAGTTTGAAATTGGCCATGTTGAGACTGTTTATAACACCAAAATCAGCAAAGCTACAGATCAGGACTTGAATTATTGTTTCGCTATCAAAATTTTTCTGTAAAGGGTCACATAGTAAATATTTTAGGCTTTGAAGACCATGATGATCAACCACCGAGCAACACTGGCCAGGCTTCCATGTCTTGATAGCTTATTTCTTTTTATCACTGAACAATATTCCCTTATATGAATGTACTACAGTTTGTTTATCCATTCACCTGTTTTTTAAAAAAATTTATTTCATTTATTAATTTGAGAGAGAGAGGAAGGGCAGTGGGAGAGAGAGAAACATTGGTTTGTTCTACTTATTTATGCATTCATTGGTTGATTCTTGTATGTGTACTGACCGTGATCGAACCCACAACCTTGGCTTATCCAGATGATACTCTAGCCCACTGAGCTACTGGGCCAGGGCTATTCATTCACCTATTGAAAGATATCTTAGTTACTTCCAAGTTTTGACAATTATAAATAAAGCTACTACAAACATTAGTATGTTTTTGTATGGGTATTTGCATTGCTGAATTGTATAGTAAGAATATATTTAGTTTTATAAGAAACTGTCAAATATTTTCCAAAGTGGCTGCTCCATTTTGCATTCCCACCAGCAATGAATGAGATTTTCTGTGTGTGTTTTTTTCACATCCTTACCAGTATTTGGTGTTGTCAGTGTTTTAGATTTTGGCCATTCTAATAGGTGGGTAGTGATATCCATTGTTGTTTTAATGTGCATTTCTCTGATGACATAAGATGTGGAGCATCTTTTCATATGCTTATTTGCCATCTGTGTATCTTCTTTTGTGAGGCATCTGTTCAGCTCATTTACCCATTTTTTAGTTAGAGTTGTTTTCTTATTATTGAGTTTTAAGAGTTCTTTGTATATTTTGGATATCAGTCCTTTATCAGATAGGTGTTTTGCAAATAGGTTCTCCTATGTCAGAACTGGTCTTTTCATTTTCATTTCTCTGTCTTTCTTAGATCAGCTTTTTAATTTTAATCAAGTCCAATTTGTCAGTTTTTTCTTTCATGGATCATGCTTTTGGTGTTCTGTCCCCATGTTTTCACCCGTCTTTTCTGTGACCAGAGGGAAATATCAGAGTGTAGGGCAGTGTAAACTGATAGAACAGGAGGGCATGAGTTGACTCCTGGATCCTGTCCATTTAGCAATAGGCTCCAATTCTTGAAATCATGTTTCAGTCAGCTATTTCTGTAATAATGCTATGTAACAAAACAACCCTAAAACTTAAAGGCTTATAATATTAAGCATGTATTCCTCTCTCACATGTCCACAGGTCAGCTGGAGTTAGTTGATTGAAGCTGGGATTAGCTGAATTTAACTCCAAGCTGCAGGTTGGATCCACATCTGCACCACATGTCATTCATCTTTCTTGGACCATGTTCTTTTCAGGGCAAAAGGCTGGAGGGGAAGCCAGCCCCACAAGCACATTGTAAGCCTTTGCTTACAACACGTCTTCTAATATCCCATTGGCTAAAGCAGTGGTTCCCAAACTTATTGGCCTACCACCCCCTTTCCAGAAAAAATATTACTCAGCGCCCCCTGGAAATTAATTTTTTAAAAATTTTAATAGCAATTAAACAGAAAGATATATGTATTAATGTTTCTACCTTTTTCGTAAAATATAGTAAAGAAGGGTGTAAATTAGAAACATTGAAGTTTGAAATTATGAAACTATTTATTGAACTCAGAATAGAAAGGTAATACAAAAAAAGTTAAAACAAATGCACCTGTGGCCATCACCGCCCCCCCTGGATCGCTGCAGCGCCCACCAGGGGGCGGTAGCACCCACTTTGGGAATCACTGGGCTAAAGCAAGTCTCATGCCAAGCTCAACATTAGTGGTGTAGAGAAGTGTACTCCTCCTATGGATTACTGAACAGCAATTCAATGTACCACAGTCATGAGTGCAGATTCCTATCACAGAGCCCAGTGCTCTGCTTCAGATACCCAAAGACACATCCCAAACAATAAAACAAGAGAAAAATTGAATTACCAACTAGGTAAGTTGAAACACTGATAGCTTTATTTTCCACTGTTCTTATATCCAGTTTCTAAGGTTAAGACCTGTGCTACTCAGGGGTACAGAATCAGTTCAGTATAGGGTTCCATGGGACCCTGGTAGGTGCTATGATGTGGATCCTTCAAGGAATTCAGTAATATAGAAAGGTATCATTTGTGCCCATTCCACTGTCACCTCTTCTCATTGCTCCCCTCACAACAAAAGCTGACTTTCAACTGTGACAACATGCCTCCTTGTCTTCTCTGCTTCCTTCCCAGGTCTCCCTCCCGTCCCCTGAGAGCTTCCCACGCAGGGAACCAGATACCTCGCAGCAGCCCCATCTCCAGACCCCAGGATTCCTGCAACGGTGGATACCATCTTAGCAACCACAGTAGCTGCTTGGCCGTGGGAAATGCTCCCAATGCTGTAGAGATCCACCAGCTCGTGTAGCAATGTGGCTTGGCCCGACAGTCAGGGTCCCAGAGCATGAAAAATCATTCCTGTCATCCTGGCAGACCCAGCCTCTTGGAAACCCATCCAGAGTCCCAGTGCCAGTGTGCTAGGCAGAATATTGCCCCCCTCCCCGCCCCCACCCCCCCACAAAGGTCCATATCCTAATCCCCAGAACTTGTGAAGATGTTACCTTAGATGGCAAAAGGGACTTCACAGATGTGATAAGGATCTTGAGATGGAGATTAGTCTGGATTATTCAAGTGGGCCCAGTGTAATTACAGGGACCCTTATAAGTGAGAGAGGGAGGCCGGAGACTCAGGCAGAGATATGATGACTGAAGTAGTTTGGAGTGAAGAGCGGGAAGGAACTGTGCAGCCTCTAGAAGCTGGAAAAGGCAAGGACACGGATTCTCCCCCGGTGCCCGCAAAAGGCAGGTGGCCCTGCCCACCCGTTCCACACTTCTGGTCTCTGGACTGTAAGATAATAAATCTGTGTTGTTTCAAGCCACCAAGTTGGTGGTAATTTGTTGCAGCAGCAAGAGGAAACTAACACAGTCAGCAACTATTTGGGGCAGTTTGCATATCATACTCCACTTCTCTGTACTACTGGTTTCGGGGAGGGGCCTTCCCCATTTCTGACTTGTCCAGCAAAAAGGCAAATAGATATTCAGGAACTAGAAGAAAAGCTGACCTGTCAGTAGCCTTTAGCATTTCTCTCTTTTATTTAAATATTTCATTATTTTTAAAGTTTTCTGTTCAAACCACAGCTGTAACTGGAATCCAAATGTCCCAGGCAACAGAAATATAACTTGGGGTCTCCTGAGAATGGCAGATTGTGGATTGCTAGAGTCAGAAAGAGATTGTCCAGTCCAGCCCACCCACTTGACAGATGAGGAACCGAGGCTGGAGTGAGGGTGGGTGTCTGGGAGTGAGAAGGGTGAGCGGACATCTAGCAGATGGCGCTGGTGAACCTCACAGGCATCGCCTCAGAGCCTGGCCCTGCCGTGGTCCCCCATCACGGCTGCTGCTGGTACTGGCTCTCCGTGGCCGTGTAGAAGTCGTCCAGCACACTCTGGATGTATTCGAAGGTGGGCCGCTCCTCGGGGCGGTTCTTCCAGCAGCGCGTCATGATGTTGTAGAGCTCCTCGGGGCAGTGCTCCGGCCGGGGCATGCGGTATCCACGCTCCAGCGCCCGGATCACCTCAGGGTTTGTCATGCCTGAGAAGGAGCCATGGAATTAAAAAGGGAGGGATTGGCGATGGGAGTCCAGGGGAGGCAGACAAAGTTGCCTCCCCAGCAGCCATCACTCCCCACCTCCTGTGGGAGCTCTGCCTCTCTGACTGCGAAATCCATAGACTCCCCTGAGTGAGGGAAGGGCGTGGCACCCAGGTTTGGCCAATGGAAGCCGAGGGGGAGTCTCCAGGGAGACTTCCGGGCAAGGTTTTCCCCCTGATAGAGACTTTAGAGGACACACACTTACTCCTTTCTTCGGGCACTGTGAGACCGTGTGATCCTTGGAGCTGCAGCAGCCCTCCACCATGTGAGGAAGACAGTCATGGACAAACTAACCCAGAGTCCTGAGAGCTGCTGAGCGGCTGAACTAACCAGTCACCAATGTCAGACTCGTTATGGGAACAATAACTTACTTATTGTTTCTACCACTCCTTAGTCTGTCATTCTGTTACCTGCAGCTTAATGCATCCTAATGGATACAGGGTGTCATAGCCATTCCTGGTTTTCCCTGGCATACCCTCAAGACAAAACAGGTGGCTAGACTCGATGCACCCTATATGTGAATGGGACCATTTCCTTATTTAATTGATTTATTAGTTATCTTTAAGAACAACCATTTAACTGTCTATGGCCCTCAATTTTATATCACCAGTGTTGAACTCCAAACTTATATATCCAAGTGCTTTCTTGAACATCTTTACCTGGATGTCTACTAGTCACCTCAAATTTAACAGGGCTAAGACAGAATTCTTTAATTTCTATCCATAGACTATTGCCCACCTAGTTGCTCCATTAAAACCAGGAGAATCATCCTTGATTCTTCTCTCTCCCTCACCTTCCACATCAGCAACTCACATCCTTTCTTCTTTTGGAATGTAGCATCAACCCATCAGCTTGTATCTCTTGCTATCGCCACTGCTGCAGCTTTCACTTGTCCCAGCCCCAAATCCACTCTCCATGCTGAACCACACATCACTTAACCATGAGATGATGCCCCCTCCCAGCTTCCACATGCTTAGACTAACATCCACTCACTCTTCACCATGACCATGGGCCCTGCCGGATCTGGCCCCTGCCAACCTCATCATCTACCATCTGCTCTCATTCCTGGTCTCCAGCTGCCTGGCTTCCTTGCTATCCTCAGGCACACTTCAGGCCCTATAAACTAGCAGTGCCTTCTGCCTGAAATCTTTTCCCCAGATCCTCACTCAGCTGTTTTTCAGCTCAAATATGACCTGCTCTGACAGGTACTCCCTGTCCACAGGAGCTCCAGGTCACTCACTCTTACACGCCTCTGCTTCATTTTCTCAGCAGTGATCTCCATGGGAGTGTATGTCTGTTTAGTGTATGCTCAGGCTAGACTGTGAGCTACTTACAAGCAGGGGCCTCGTCTCTTACTGTATCCTTAGTGCCTAACGCACGGAAGGAACTTGAGAAATACAATGGAATGAGCGATGTCTATATCTTTTGTTCCAAACCTTCACAACCACTTGTACAGGTAGATGTCATTACCGGATAGGGTACCTATATTTTTTACAGGTGAAAACACTGGGATAAAAGTGAAGTGAATTTGTCAAAATGTTATAGTTGATGGGGACACCATTCAAATTCAGGACAGTTTATAAAAACAATGAGACTCTTTTTATCTGCCTTGTCCCCTCTTCCCAGTGTTTTGGCATGGAGCCATTCCAACCAAAAAGGAACCGAGCACAACAGTACTTACTGAGCCCTAGGCAATCTGCATGTCACATGTATCTTTATATACCCTGTGTTCTACTCAGTCTAGGGTGCTGCCCGCAGGCGTGTAGGTAAACATCTATTCCACAAACAGATACGAAGCACCCACTCTGTGGCGGGCACAGAGGTAGGCAGTGCAGATACACCAGTGAGGAACACAGACATGATTTCTGGCCTCACGGAGCTCAGAGTCTGATGGGGAAAATATTAAACAAACACGTAGTTATCAATTGTGATGAACTCTATGAAGGAAGCAGTGTAGCGTGTTTTGAATGAGAAGCACGGGGGATGTGTGGTACTTTGGATGACTGGATGGTGGGATGCCACATACAGTGAAGCTGGAGACGTAGACAGGGGCTGGATCATGCAAGACCTGCAGGCATAATTAGAAGTTTGGGATTTTGTCCTAATTATGGTGGGAGACCATGAAAGAGTTAGAGATGGAGAAGGGACAAGATCTGAGTCACAGTTTTAGAAAACTCGTTCTGGCTGCACGTAGAGAATGGCCTACAGGAGAGGGGAGAAGCAGGGTGCTGGTTAGGCAGGCACTGTACCATCGAGGTGAGAGGTGATGTTGGCCAGGATGAGCATGGAGGCCGTGGAGTTAGAAGGGGAAGACGTGGGATGTGTTTTGGAGTCAAATACCAGAACCTCTGACTGTTTGGATGTGATATGGAGTGAGAGAAAAGGAAGGATGGAGGAAGCCTGCAGATTTCAGGCTTAAGAAACTGGGTGGATGGTGGTCCTTTAACTGAGATGGAGCAGGTGAGGGGAGGTTGGGAGGAGGATGAAGAACTCAGTCTGAATGGACATTGACAAGAGAAGAAAGCCAGACTGGGCCCTGGAAGCAGCCCAAGCTGAGGCCCCCTTCACTACCTGGGTATGGGATCCGGCCGTAGGTGACGATCTCCATCAGCAGAATACCAAAGGACCAGACGTCCGACTTGATGGTGAAGGAGCCAAAGTTGATGGCTTCAGGAGCTGTCCACTTGATGGGGAACTTGGCCCCTGCAGAGTTGGAAAGGGTGGAGTCAGGGAGGGTCTGGAGAGCAGGGGGCTGGGTCTCTGCTAGGGTGAGGGAGCAGGACAGCACAGTTGCCCACATCTGCCCCCTGCAGACCTGCAGTTTCCCTAAATCTAAATCTGGCCTCTAGAAGCAAGGACCATCCATGCTGAGGACAGATGGCTAAAGTGGGGAGGAGTGGGCAGAGGGTCTGGGGTGTGGCCGGGGAGCCAACTCCCCAGGACCACCTTGTTAATTCAGCGGTCACCCCAGCAACCTACAACTCCTGAAGAGTGGAGTCCTAGAGGTCACAGAACGTTCAGACAGCAGGACTGCAGGGGCCTTGAGTCCAGGTTGCAGCGAATGCCTTCGCACCCTGGTGCCGGGCAGTGGGAGAAGGGAAGAGTTTGGCCTTGGCCTCTGCTTTCCACCAATCGCTGGGTGTCTCCCTTCTACTCTTCCTCTCCTTCCCCTTCGTCTGGGATGGGTTCAGTTAACCTTTGGTTACTGATTTCCATCTTAATTCCATTGTGGTTGAGAATATGCTCTATAAGAATACATGTCCTTTGAAGTTTGATGAGACCTGCTTTATGGCTGAGTACATGGTCAAGTTTTGAAAATGCTCTGTTTTTTTCCTCTCCATTTCTTCCCTCCTTGACATTGAGAGAATTTTCTTTATTCCTGGTTATCCTCTCCTGTTTTAGAGATTATACATTCTACTCTTAGTCTTTTAGTGGTTGCCCTTAGTTTAGGTTGTTTTTATTGTGTCCTAACAAACATGAAATAAAGTGCACAAATCCTTCATATACAACTCGATGCATTGTTGACATGTATAGACCTTGTAATCCCCACTCAGATCAAGATAGAGAACACTTTCAGCATCTCCGTGGCTCCCTCCTGCCCGCCCCCACCCCAGTCAGTACCACCCCCATCCCAGGTAAGCACTATTCTGACCTCTACCGCCATAAATGAGTTTTGCCTGTTTTTTTCTTTAACGGTTTTATTGAGCTGTATACACAGGTCATGCAATTTACCCAGTTAAAGTATGCAATTCATTGGTTTTTAGTATGTTCACAAAGTTGTGAATTTTAGAATATTTTTATCATATCCCCCCCCAAAAAAACCCATACCAGGCACTCCCCATTTCTTTCCAACTTCCCATCCCAGCCCTAGGCAATCATTAATCTACTTTCTTTATAGATTTGCTTGTTCTGGACATTTCATATAGATCAGTGTTTCTCAACCTTCTGGCCCTTTAAATACAGTTCCTCATGTTGTGACCCAACCATAAAATTATTTTCGTTGCTACTTCATAACTGTAGTGTTGCTACTGTTATGAATCGTAATGTAAATATCTGACATGCAGAATGGTCTTAGGCGACCCCTGTGAAAGGGTCGTTCAACTGCCAAAGGGGTCACGACCCACAGGTTAAGAACCGCTGGTATAGATGGACTCATATAATATGTTACCTTTGTATCTGCCTTCTTTCACTAACATGATGCTTGGAAAGTTTATCCATGAGTAGCATGTACCTCATTCCTTTATGAATGATATTCCATTGTATGGGTAGACCACATTTTGTTTATCTGTTTATCAGTTGATGGACATTTGGTTTGCATCTGCTTTTTGGCTGTTACAAATAATGATTCTATGAACTTTCATACATGAATTTGCTTGTTTCTGAATTTTATATAAATGGAATCGTCCAACATCTACTTTCTTGATCCGATTTCTTTTTTGATATTATGTCTATGAGAGTCAACCACTTTGTTGCATGTAGCATTGGTTTGTAATTTTTCATTGCTGCAAACATTATATTGTATGAATATACCACAAGTTACAAATTAATTCTTCTGTTTATAGATATTTGGATTCCTCTGTTTTTATCTATTATCCATAAAGTTGATCTTATGCTTAATTTCAACATGCACACACCTAACTTAATCTACATCAGAGTCTCTGGGTGACTGAAGGCCAGGACATTACATCCAGAAGGACTCTGTCAAGTTTAATAAGACATAGCTAAAACTGGGGTGGACCTCTGCATTTTACCGATCACTTTCGCAGGCTCAACTCTCACCACTCACCACCAACCCAGGTGGGCCCCACGGGTCCCTTGGCCGCATCCCCTACCTTCCCGGGCCGTGTACTCGTTGTCCTCGATGACCCTCGCCAGGCCGAAGTCAGCAATCTTACACACCAGGGTCGCAGAGACCAGGATGTTGGCGGCTCGGAGGTCTCGGTGAATGTAGTTCCTCTGCTCGATGAAGGCCATGCCCTCCGAAATCTCCACCCAAAACAGAGATACCCTCATCCTCAGATCTGGCCCAGCCCAAGATGAGTCCCACCCAAAGGCAGAAGAGGAGCGTCCAAGTGTGAAAAAAAAACAGGAAAAGAAGTGTTCCAGCTCCTTCTTTTTGTGTGGGAGAGTCCTAAGCTCAGACTGGCATTTCCCTGTCTACCCGTCCAGTTTGGGAGGATCCTCAGGGCCTGAGTTAGTGTGGGGCTTCTCCAGGGTTCCAGAACTTCCAGAGAGCACTTTGAGGAAAAGCAATGGCATTATTCTCCGGGACCTGTATACCCACACCAGGATACTAGGAAGAGCTTTCCTTCCCAACCCTCTTTCTGGGGACAATCTAGGCTCACGTCATATTCTGCTGTCTCTCTCTTATTTAAAAATACATTTTTATTGATTTCAGAGAGGAAGGGAGGGAGGGAAACATCAATGCTGAGAAAGAATCATTGATTGGCCACCTCTTGCCTCCATGGGGGATCAAACCCATAACCCAGGCTTGTGCCCTGACTGGAAATCGAACCATGATCTCAAGGTTTATAGGTTGAGGCTCAACCACTGAGCCACGCCGGCTGGGCTCTGCTGTATCTCTTATGCCTTCTTTATCCCCAAACCTCAGTAGAAAAAAATCATTTGTTCACAAATATCTACTGAGTGTCTTGGGGGTGCCAGACATGTTACTTGAATAGGTGCTAAGTCAGGCAAAACCCCTGTAGGTGGTATTAAGTACCATAAAGAAAGGATAAAGAGGGTAACAGGAGTGGAAACCCAGAGGGCTTTTTGGATTGAGTGGTCATGGAAGGCTGCTTTGAGGAGGTGAAATTTATGTGAAGATCTCAGTGATGACAGTGTGACAAATAAGAATGTTCCTGGCAGAAATAACATCATGTGCAAAGGCCTGGAGGTGGGAATGAGCTTGGATGTTCGTGGAACAGGTCGCTGAGAAGTTGCCACAGGGACCGTGGGGAGTTGAGAGAGACGTGGCTGATTGTGAAGGACCTTGTAGGAGGCTAGGAGAGGAGGTTGGACTGTATTCTGAGTGTGATGTGAAGATAGTAGAAGGCTTCGAGGAGGAATGTGATGTTGTCTGATGTATATTTTAATGTCATCATGGCTGCCCAGTGAATAATAGACTGTGTTGAGGATTCTTATCCACAATGGTGCCTGGACGTTTCTGATGGAAAAATGTAGGATTTTTCCTTAGAGACATCTTTTACATAGAATGGTTTGGCATTAACCCTTATAAAGAGGTTTATTATTAACCCTCAGACACCCACTAAACAGCACTTACAATTTACAAGCTGGCCTTCAAGCTCCTTGGGTCAGGTGCTCTCACAATCTGTGTTTTACAGAGGAGGGACACTTTCCAGCTCATACCACCAAGAAAATTCTGAATGTCAGACTCAAACCAGTCTGTGGGTGTTCAATCCCAGTGCACCATGCTGCCTCTAGTTACTGCAGATCCCCAGTGCCCTGGAGGACTGAAGCTGGGTGCAATCTGGTGAGATTATTTGGAGGGGAGAGGGTGCCTGGCCAGACAGACCAAACCAATGCACCAGCCTGCTCAAGGTTGGAGGAAAAGTGGGCAGTGCACTTACAGGAAGTGGACAGGAGGGGGCACCCATGACTATTGAAACTGAGGTCTGAGGCTGCAGACTTTCCAACAAAAACTCCAGACTTTTAAATTTTGTTTGGGATAGCCTGTCAGGGGGTCGGGTAAGACAGGTCTTGCCTGGGGAGTGTGGGAAATGTATAAGGAGTCCTTAGAGGCACAGTTAACAACAGTTATTACCTTAATGGCAGACATTGTAGCTTATTCATGTACTAGTGGCCCGGTGCACAAATTTGTGCACATTGAAAGGAAATTAATTAGAAGAAATATTTTAATATCACTATTTGCCCTTTCTCTATAATAGAAGTGTCAACCAATTCATGAGCGACAATGACAGATCGAAACACACGCATGGGATTGGCACCAGCGAGAGCTTTATATGTATCGCGCATGTGCGAGTAAACTTAGCCTTTTATATATATAGAATAAACTTGCTTAATTAGACCTGCTTTCTGACTTAGCTAAACTTTTTCCAGCCCAGTGAAGCACCCCAACGTCTCTTTCAGGTAATTGTCAGCAACACAGCATTAAATATCAACACAAAGCAGATTATTATTGTAGATCACACAGGGAGAGCAAAGGGTAAAATATTTAACTGCAACAGTATTTGACTATATTCTGCGCAGTGAGAAAACCTGAGCTCTTTTCAAGGTCCACCATTTCTTACTTCTTTTCAATTGGGTCAAGTTTCTAAGTGTTCTAAATCTCCATTTTCTGGCTAATGAAAAAAAAAAGGATTCCACCAAGTCTTCTATCTACCTACTCCAGGACTTCTGTGAGGATCAAATGAGATGAGGCATGGGAAAATGCTTCACAGACATTTGGTTAAAGTGTACAATGTTTTCACCTGGCTATAAAGCAAGCCATGTTCCTGGGCTAAAGAAACTGCAAGGAGGCTAGTCGCTAGGGAGAGGAAGCCGGACGTTGCTACGTGACGTCATTACCTGGACGGACTTAGCATATTAGCCTTTTATATAAATAGATTATAAGATGATACTTAACAAATAGTACTTACTCTCTGCTTTAGGGGAGGCACTATTGTGATCAGCCGTGTTTCACAGGTAAGAATGCTGGAAGCCAGAGAAATAAGTAACAGGACTGGAACTCCAACAGCCGTGCTCAGGGTCCATGCACTTAGCCATTATTCTACCTGAATTTTTGGCCGTCTGTTTGGCACAGAGCAGGTACTAATGCTGGTAGTTACCACTGGCAGACAGTCATGCTATTGATTTTCACATGAGCTCAGTGGGGCAGGTGGGACAAAACCCACAAAACCCTGCGTGCCTCTGGAATTGGACCAGTTCACTCTGAGCCCCATCAAGCTACTCCAACCTTGTATGCCTCACATTTCGTCTCTATAAAATGGGGACAACAATAGAACCTGCCTCTGAGGGCTTCTGTGAGGATTAACCCTGTAAGCCTACCTCAAGAACTAAGAATGGTCTCTAGCATGTTAAGTATTTACTACAATGGTGACAATTAGTGCTCCCTGTTGAGGAAAATGGCACTCAGAGAGGTTACACAACTTGCTCAAAGCTACACAGGCAGAGCTGGGATCAAACCCAAAATGCTATGCAACTCCTAAGTCCAATACACAAAGTGTTGCTTTTCAAGGTTTTGTTAACTGAATGAATTAAGGGATAGGTTTACTGGGCTCAGGGCTGGTCTAAGAATCGGGGGTGGATTAGGTGTGAGATTTCATAACCACCAAATGGGCTGCCACGATGTCAGGCACTGGAACTTGGGTTTCTTCCAAGGAATCACAGAATCAGAGTGGGAAGCGCCTGCAGGATATTCTCCCTCTTCAAACTGGATCCTACTGATACCTCAAGGTAGCCAGGGTTGGGCAGGGGTGTGTGTGGGGAAGGGGGACAAAAGAAAGGCCACACCCTGACTGGTTTGGCTCGGTGGATGGAGCGTCGGCCTGCAGACTGGGGGGTCCCGGGTTCGATTCTGGTCGAGGGCATGTGCCTTGGTTGCGGGCACATCCCCATGGGAGGTGTGCAGGAGACAGCTGATCGATGTTTCTCTCTCATCGATGTTTCTAACTCTCTATCCCTCTCCATTTCTCTCTGTGGAAAATCAATAAAATATATTTAAAAAAAAAAAAAAAAAGAAAGAAAGGCCACATATGAGGTCCCACCTTACAATCAGAACAGCTGTTTTGACCTATTTTTAAGTCTACTAGACCTGAGGCCCTGAACCTAACTGTCCCCTATACCTGGGCTCCTGAGCATTAAAGAGAAAAAACCAACATGATATAGAAAAATGTTAGTTACATGCAAACAAATGGTTAGAATAAGATGGAACTTGGAGACATTGTAGAAAATAGGTCTACCTTTCATCTACCTTTCATCTAGCACCAATATTCCACCTTTGTGTGGAAATTACCTAAAAATTGGTACAGCGGTCTGGTCAGCTACTGTATACAATTTCATTGACCAACAGAATTGTGCCTGAGAAAATAAAATTTAAAAGCTTCTGAACCTGAAAACCACAGGTGTGGTCCAGTTCCCTCATTTGACAAATGGAGAGACTGAGACCAAAAGCCGTCAGCCAGGTGGCAACAGGTCTGGGGTAACCAGCACTGTGCTCAGCTGACTCTAGGACTGGAGGCAAAGACCAGGTTGGCTCCTTCTTGTCGCTGGGCCCTGAGGTCACCTCTGCTCCTGGACGCATAGGGCCTGGCGCCTCTTTTCCTCCCTTGGTTTGTTTTCCCTTCGGTGAAATGAGGAGAGTGGCTCTTGCCCAGTTGATGACTCTGCCCAGCAAGGTTTCTGCCAGTTTGATGGCTATAATTTAGCAACACACTGGACTCCAGTTTTTCTAGGGCAGTGGTTCTCAACCTCCCTAATGTCGCGACACTTTAATACAGTGCCTCATGTTGTGGTGACCCCCAACCATAAAATTATTTTCGTTGCTACTTCATAACTGTAATTTTGCTACTGTTATGAATCGTAATGTAAAATATCTGATATGCAGGATGTATTTTCATTGTTACAGATTGAACATAATTAAAGCATAGTGATTAATCACAAAAACAATATGTAATTATATATGTGTTTTCCGATGGTCTTAGGCGACCCCTGTGAAAGGGTCGTTTGACCCCCAAAGGGGTCACGACCCACAGGTTGAGAACCGCTGCTCTAGGGACAGGGCCCATTAAAGTCAAAATGCCAGGCCTTGATTTCCATATGTCTCTGGCATTCCAGGCTCTGAAATGCAAGACCTCTTTTTATACCTCTGACCTCCCCCAGCCCCTAGGATTTGCCTACTCAAATGGGCTCTGCCTTGGGCATCCTCAGAAGGCCCGGGCCTAGGCCCTGGTGCAGGTCTCCCTTAATGCACTCCAGGCTGCAAACCACACTCCCTGCATCTTTTGCAGCCCAGGCACCAGTTGACCAGGCCCAGCTCTTGTGTTTTTCCTTTGAGCTTTGGCACAGGCCATTTCCTATGTCTAGACCACCCCTTCTTCTCCTCTTCATCAAACTCACTTCTATTCATTCTTCAGGGCTCAACCTAGAGGCCAATTCCTCTGGGAAGTCTTCTTGGATTGCTCCTAGACCAGGCTACATGCTCCAGCTGTGTACTCCCATAGCACCCCTTTCCTATCTGTTTTCCCACAAATAGGAAAGAATGAAAGAGGATAGAAATAAAAAGCACTCAACTGAGGGTGAGAGCAGCTGCAGAGTGTGAAGGGAAGATGAGAAAGACGGGGTTCTAAGAAGTGTTTCTGTGACTTGCGTACATTATTATTTTGCTGGATACTACATTCTTTTGACATTGAGCCAGGCCTCTTGGGTCATGGCTCTTGAAGAGACTCAGTTATTAAATATCTGTCTTCCCATCTGGACTGTTCACTCTGTGAGGACAGCAATCCGTTCCATTTTGTTCACTGCCACATCCATCAAAAGAAGACAGTAACTTAGGCAAGCCACTTAACCTCACTGGGCCCCGGTTTCCTCATCTGTACTCATCTTCTCTACGCTTCACGTTTCTATTATGTAAACTTGGATGGCAATTACCATCCTATGGCTACACTGTTACACTGGTGACTCCCAATGCATGCCTTCTGGACTCGGGCCCTTGGCCAGTCCCCTTCCACACTGGCTCTGGGCTGAGTCTATTACTTGCTTTAGCCGATGAGACATTAGTAAGCAAATGCAGGCTAAACGAATCAGCATTTGCACATGAGGGTTTGGCCCCTTGGTATACTCTGTATTGGGACCTCGCCACCAAGCCATAAACTCTGGCTGGGCTACTGAGTGATGAGGTGCCACATGGGAAAAAAAAAAACACAGCCTTTGGCAAGCTGCCAGCGGAATGCAGCCATGTGAGTGACCTTGGTTTCAACATATGGAGCAGAAGAACCACACAGCCAACTCCAGTCAACCCATAGAATAATGAGAAATAAAAAATTCTTGTTTCGAGCTCCTAAGCTTTGGGTGGTTTGTTACATAAGAATAGATAACAGCCCTGGCTGGTGTGGCTCAGTTGGTTGAGCATTGTCTCGAGCACTGGATGGTCACCAGTTCAGTTCCCGGTCAGGGCATATACCCAGGTTGCAGGCTCAACCCCCAGTCAGGGATTCATGCAGGAGGCAGCATATTGATGTTTCTCTTTCACATAGATGTTTTTCTCTCTCTCCCTCTTCCTTCCTCTCTTTCTAAAATCAATAAAAAACCATGTTTTTTTTAAAAAGAACAGATAGCCTTAACTGGTTTGGCTCAGTGGATAGAACGTCAGCCTTCGGACTCAAGGTCCCAGGTTCGATTCCGGTCAAGGGCATGTACCTTGGTTGCGGGCACATCCCCAGTGGGGAGTGTGCGGGAGGCGGCTGATCGATGTTTCTCTCTCATCGATGTTTCTGACTTTCTATCCCTCTCCCTTCCTCTCTGTAAAAAAATCAATAAAATATATTTTTTTAAAAAAAGAACAGATAACAAAAATCGCATCCTAGAAAGTTGATGTTAGGACGTACTTCATCAGACTCACTTCTACTCAGTTAGTACATGTAAGACACATTTTAAAAGTATACTTTTATACAGAGTGCTCAATAAATGTGCTTAGGCCAGTGTTTCTAAGTGGTCAGAGGTCAGCCTGCACACCAAAGTCGAGTTCGATTCCCGGTCAAGGGCACATACTTGGGTTGCAGGTTCAATCCCCAGCTCCCATTGGGGCACGTGCAGGAGGCAACCAGTCCATGCATCTCTCTCACACTGATGTCTCTCTCCCTCCCTTCCTCTCTGTAAAAAATCAATAAAATATATTTAAAAAAAATGTTGAATTTCGTGCCAAAAAAAGAGCATTTGTGGGAAGTTTTAATTCATTACTTTATTTTGAAGAAAAGTGCTGCTGAAAGTTATTGTATGCTTCGGGAAGCTGGATGGTGAACATGCTCCATCTCAAGATACTT